GTCACATGGCCACAATTGGCGTCCATAGTGCTGCCTACAGGCAGTCTCCCTGCATCTGTAAAATAATTTAAAAAAAATTATATTTGTAAATGTAAAAATAAAAAAAAAATAAAAAAAAATATATATATATATATTTATACTAAGTGCATTTTTATATTAATATATACATATATTAATATAAAAATGCACTTATAATTAAATTACATACACATATATAATATATTGTGTATATATATTATAAAAATATAAATAAGTAAATAAAAAATGAAAAAATGTAAATATATATATATAAAATTGTATTCCAACTGTATTTTAATATGAATACATATAAAAATGATATATATCCATATGCATAATTACGTGAATAATTTCATAAATATACACGTAGACTTCAAATATTTAAATAATCATATATATTTAAATTCTACGTGCATATTTATGTAATATTTTTACATAATTAAGTAATTTTATTGATTGCAATTTGAGGGACCTGCCTGACAACCCAGGCCGAAAGTCCAGACAATTTAATTTGCTAGCACTGTATTTAGCCCTGAAACTTTCCATGACACCCTAAAATCTGTACATGGGGGGTACTGTTTTACTTTAGTGTTTCAAAACAGTAAAACATATCACAGCGATGGTATTGTCAATGAAAGTGAAATTCTTTGCATTTTTCACACACAAACTGCACTTTCATTGATGATATCATTGTTGTGATACGTTTACTGTTTTTAAACACTAATATTTGTGTTCAGCAAAGTCTCCTGAGTATAACAGTATCCCTCATGTTCAGGTTATAATATGTTTTTGAAATTTACAGGGTCAAATATAAGGCTTGATTTTCCGTTTTTTTCACATTGAAGTCTGCCAGATTGGTCATGTTGCCTTTGAGGGCGTATGGCAGCCCAGGAACGGGAATTACCCCCATGATGGTATACCATTTGCAAAAGAAGACAACCCAAGGTATTGCAAATGGGGTATGTTCAGTCTTTTTTAGTAGCCACGTAGTCACAAACACTGACCAAAGTTAGTGTTCATAATTTTTCATTGCATTTTTAACACACAAACAAATATAAATGCTAACTTTGGCCAGAGTATGTGTTTGTAACCTGTTAACAATGGGTATTTCTAAACTCAGGACAAAATGTAGAAACTATTTAGGATGGGTGTTTTTTAGCGGTTATAGATGCGTAACAGATTGTGGGGGCCAAAGTTAGAAAAAGTGGTGTTTTTTTCCATCATATTTTATAATATTTGTTATAGTAAATTATATGATGAAACTAATGGTATCTTTAGAAAGACCATTTAATGGCGAGAAAAACTATATAATATGTGTAGGTACAGTAAATGAGTAAGAGAAAAATTACCGCTAAACACAAACACCGCAGAAATGTAAAAACAGCCCTGGTCCCAAACGTTAAACAAATTGAAAAGCGGTCTGGTCACTAAGTAGTTAATTATTGCACATACATGTGATGATTAAACATATCTAAGTACCTACCTGTAACTATTTCCTACCTATTAAATCTCTCTGTGTGCTTTTTGTCTGAGCACTTATCCATGAATGCATTATGGAAGCAAACATTTTGCATAATTAATCAACTCTTTTTTTGCTTGTGGGTGTAGTTTGGTAATGGATAGGGCTTGTACTCAGACAGGTATAAAAGAGGAAAGAAATTCAGTCGAAACATCAGTTTCGACTAGAGCCACATGGACCTAATGCTGCATGCTACGAACAGACAGATGTTCTTTCCATAGCTGGTTGGAGGACTGCTGATTTATGGAATATGCCCAATTTATAGTTGAAAACCTTTGTAATGCTAGCATTCTTATCATGTTCTATTTTATACATGGAATTCTTCTCTAACTAATGCTTCAATATTAAAATTAGCATGGAAGCTTTTTCAGCACAACTCTACTCAATTACTTTTAATCATGCAATTTAGTACTAAAGCATAAAATATGTGACTAATCTGTGCCTGTCAACCTGACTGAACTTCAGAATGACACATAGAGAGAACTACAGATAATGCCAATGGGCATTTGTGTTTATGGAAAAACCTTCCAAATTCAGTTAGAAGACAATGTCCTTTATAGAGGACATTGCAGTTTAGTTCATTATAGTGATGTCTGTCTGTGTGTGTTAGTCTATGCAAAAATGGGAACTTAAAGGTAAGCTAAATGGAAGGACATTTCTGAAATAATTTAAAGGAAAACTCCAAGCACCATAAACACTACAGCTCACTGTGGTAGTTATGATGCCAGCAGTTCCCTGGTGCGTGCCATTGTAAGAAGAAAAGCCGTTTTTGCCATGTTTTGGCTTCTTAGATGGGATTTTCTGGGTACCGGTACCCATCTACACTACTAATGTAGGAGAGGTAGAAGTTCTCAAGCTGGATCTTCCGTTATCTCTCTTTAGCTAAGGCCTTCACCTTTAGAATTTCCAATTTCAAAAGTTTTCATATTTTGTGTTATCACAAACAGCACAATGATGCCGAACACATCCAACTCTTCTCATAGAGAAGTTTCACTCTGTAAAAATTGTTTTTTAGTTTTGTTTAGTTTTCATACATTCCAATGTTTTGAGAAGTCTTAACAGTTGCCTATTGTCAAGGCAAAACAGTTTTAAAAAAATTTGGGCTAAAGTATTGTGGTTTGACATATTCCCCACCTTAATATATTTAGAACTTGGCTGTTTGACCTTATTTTGCAAATTAGTTTTTTTTCAACACAATTCAGTTCGGCAAACTAATCCCTGTGTCTTGCTCAGCTTAACTGTTCTAGGATATTCATTTATCATATTCTTTACATTCTTACCTTGTTGCATTGCAAATGCAGTGTGTATACATGAATGAATAAAATAAAAATCTATAATATATATATATCTCAAATAAAAATCCAAATAGGCTAATTCTTATATACTAACGCTGTCTCTTTTTTCCCCATCCCATTCACAAGTGGCCACTTTAAGTCTTGGAATGTTTCTATTCTGCCTATGCAGCCTACTTACTACAGCTTCTCCCTTCTACAACATCTGGGTCACTTTAAGTACTTCAATTCTGTGTCGCCGTATTTATCCGATCAATGCGTTGCTCCGACTTTATTGAGTGTGTTGTGCATGTCGTTCGGGAAGTACTGCCTCCTAATTCTCTTTAGACTTTCTGAACACCTAAATGTGCCAAATGGGAGGCACATACCGTAAAGTAGACTTCTAGAGGGAGGATAACTGCTTGCTGGCAGCGCCCTTCTAATTATACTAATATGACGCCTAGCATATTTTTCTATTCTGGCAGTACCATGTCATCACTGTGACCCTGTTCCCGTACTTTTTAGAGCTACAGGGATAATGTAGACCAATCAGTGTATAACTAAAGTTTTCAGCCAAATATAAATCTTTGCCCTGTCATGGTTTCTCCTTGGTTCATCATAGAGTGCATTATATTGTTCCTTAATTGTATATTATTTTTTTTTATATTTACGGTTAGATTGTTCTTCGATTTTGGCTTGTTAACGGACTCATCTGACTTTCGTAACCCTGACCTGGCTAGTTATATCGTATTTCTGATCTTGGCTTATTTTGCATTTATGTTTTCTCTCTTTTTTCCATTAAACCCAGCCATTATAAAAGGTTGGTTAATACATCCTGTCTACTTATTCCTTACCTATAATTGTAAGTCTGGTAGTGTATCCATGACATTCCAAAACAAATTTAGTATCTACACGGATGGGGGATAGTTGGAAAATATATTAAAATAAATGACAAGTGGGTCATGTAACTTTCTAAATAGTTCAACACCTGAGGAAGAATGTTCTAGAAAATGTGTTGCCTATTGGTACCTACATTTAAACCATACCTTTAATAATTACACTTCCAGAATAATAATATTAGTGAATAGGTACAGTTCAGTATAACATGATTAGTGTCCCAAAATGTGAAATTCTCATCAAATCTGGGATTCTTTTTAGCTATGATATAAACTCAGATCTGTAGTCATATGTGAATTGATAACACTTACACTTGTCTTCATCATTTGATGCATTGCTTTTTTGAAAAAACTAAAACAAAAACAGCAATTAACAAAAATAAAACACCACAGTGAGAAGATTGGTCACAACTGAGCCATCTGCTTGATTTAAAAAAAAAATCAGTACACAAACCCCATATTTTTGTGAAATGGTTTATGGATCATATCCTAATGACCTGGCTGCAGTTTGAGCAGACACTGGAAAAAAAAATAGTATACATTAATCTATAAACCTGTCATTGCTGGTATTAAATAATCTACAATAAAACATCTACAAAACCAGAGATTTTCTTTTTAATCAAGAGAAGCTTTTCCTTCGGAGGTCAACAATGTGATATATGTTTCTCAGAACAAATGTGTAAGGCCATCAAATGTGAGTGAGAATCAAAACTTATAATGTTATGCTTTTAATGAAAGAATGCATTGGCAATGCATGTGATTTATTTCTTACAAGTGTATGCACTAAAATGTGAATGAATTCAAAGTAAATGTACAGTTTTATTAAATAAATTCTTGATTGTAGGAAATTAATAGTTATATGGCAAATTGAATGCTAAAACCAAGTTAACATTTGATTCCCGGTTAGAGTTTTTAACTTGTTTGTGGACCATGGAGGCGGGACAATCCGCAGTGAGATTGGCTTGGTGAGGGAAAAGTGGAAGTTAAACAACTTTTTTTATTCCACAGAGGGGGGGCCAGAGACCCTAATAGGTATTCTAGAACTATAGTGTTAGGAATACATGTGTGTATTCACTATAGTGTTCCTTTAACCCTGCTATGTAAACATTTTAGTTTGTACAAAAGTGCAATGTTTTACATTGCAGTTTTAAAATTACAGGATGACTCCACTTTTAACCAGAGTAGCTAAACTGAAAGCATAGCGTAAAAAATTGAAAATCAGAGGTGTAAATTAATAGCATGGCTGAGCGGACGCAGGTCAAAGCAGCGCTCGCAGTTTTGTGCTAATTCTACCAAATGACCGGCTCCTGGCACATCATCCTGCCGAAAGGCATCCTGCATGACTTGATGCCGTTCTTCTTGATGCTGGCCATGAAACTCCCAAGGCACAAGGCTATGGCATACTGCCTAACTTCTAGGCTAATCCTTGGTGACTTCCCTGGTGGATCCCTCCTAGAGGTGAATTATTGGGAGCATCGCACCCTCTCCTCACATATTGGGTACAATGCTCTGAAGATGGAACACAAGTCTCAAAAACTACCCCCTGGAGCAGACTCGGAGACAAGGGACATGCTGCAAAGGCAACCACAGCACAAGGTGGCAGAACATCCTGAGGCCTGTGCCCTGACACCACTTCCCGCTCCACCACAGGCACCGATGATTACAACAGTTATTTCAGAGGCTTCAGAGTACTTAGCCCCAGCTTTTAAGTGGGGCATTCAGAACCTATTACATGACTTACAAAAGCTACTAGCTGCAGACATAACTCTTGTGAAAGGTGACAAGCAGGTAGTTGCAGATCGAGATAAAGCCACAGAGGAAGACATTGTTGATCTGCAAACTGGTATGTCTACCATGAAAGAGACTACCCAACACATAAAGTCTGCTCAGCAGATGCTCACTCTTCATATGGCAGTTACTGAAGATAGGCACAGACGCAACCACATAAAAATTAGGGGCATTCCTGACAACAAACATCAAAAGACTCTGAATTGGAGTACACAATAAATCTATATAGAATAATAAAGAGGGCTGCGTCACATACAGAAGAGCGACTAAACAACTAAATAAAATATAAACCAACAAGAGTATGTGAGCGCTCCAAATAAAATATGACCACTAAAAATATTGTACTAGACTCCAAAGCAGCAGCTGTAGAACAAAATAAGGATGTACATATACACAAAATATTTATTCATATATAAACAATAAAATTAATCAAACATGAACACCATGAAGAGATTATTATATATATACAAAAGGTGTCCAGACCAAAATTCGAAAATCCACAGTGTGGGGCCCCCAACACTGATATGGATAATGTATCAAAGAGGAAAAATTATAGAAAAAATAAAAAGATTGTGCACATCAAATAGTAAAACATCAAAAAAATTTGAATCTTAGACCTCAAACACATATATCATTCGTGGGGGAGGGAGCTCATAAACCCACCAAACTACTAGGTAAAGGTGAGGGGTGCCGCTATGTATAGTCTCCCAGTGATATAAACCTAGGGATAAAATCAGAGCAACTTACCCTATTCACCCAACCTTCGTGTAAGGTAAGAGGAGCACGCCAACTCCCTACCACGAGACAAGATGTGTGGGACTGAATTCAACAGCTGCCGAAAATCCCTCCCGGACTGTAAATGAAACCGGGTAGAAAATCAGAGGAGACAGGAAACAGATCGTCTACGCGTTTCGTCCCCTTTGAAGGACTTTATCAAGACCTGACAACATTACACCTTTCCTACCCTACATCCAAGCTAAGCCACCTTTGATGGCTTATACAGGTTGCATAATTCTCCTAGAACATAATTTCTAAGAGACGTGATGGTTCGCTGTTCCTCCTCGCAACATGAAGGCAAAATAACATCAGCACTAAGGGGCAAGACACTGTATGCATTTGAATAATCAAGTCTTTCCTTCTATTAGGAAGAAAATAACTGTGGGAGGCAGGTGTGCAATACAGATTTGGCGTATCCTGGACTCTCGTCACAATCCATAACAGGATAGTGCATATCCTTTCTTTCAGTTCTGAATCATCAATTTTTCTTAGGGCACTGGGAATTAACGTCTGAAAGAGGGACTAACGAAAACATTCCAGCTCATACCTGGGATCCAAATAAGATGGCTCCTTTTGTTCCTAGAGGGAACACTGAGGCTTGTGCAGGGATCTGACTGTGGATGAGGTTGGAGGTAGTGGTTTGCTACTGGTTTTGTTTATGTATATGCTCGCACTGTGATTTAATTTTTCTTTCATATTTTGTTTTTCTTTTTTCTTTTTTAATTCGTCAGTATGTTTTCAGGCTATGAGATCACTCTGTCCTGATATAAAAGGAAACCCTGCTTTCAGTAGGCAGTCAAGTTTATATCCGCTTTTTATGCCTGTTATGATGAACAAGGTTGTTACCCCCACTTCTTACTTCCTCTGGTTAGGGATACCAATCTTAGATGGTTCCGGTCCGCTAAATGAGGAACTATGTCTCTCTTGGCACATTGCCCGTGTCACTACTAGTAGTCCTAAATATCCTGCCTTACATTTAATCTCTGTTTAACCCCTTAAGGACCAAACTTCTGGAATAAAAGGGAATCATGACATGTCACATGTCATGTGTCCTTAAGGGGTTAAGCATGCTCTTTAACTCATGTTACAATAAACACAAGTGAGACTTTACATGCTCGTTAAGGGGCTGATACTTGCACAGGGTCCAAAGCTTTATATATTTTGCTGGCCCAGTTTGATATAGTTCCTTGATGAGTTAACGCTCTTTGATTTAGCCTTTCTGCTTTCTTACATTCTGTTATATGTACCTGCCAGTTCCCATCTAAAAGCTCACCTGATGATCAAGCCTAAGTGTATTCTTTTGTGTCTAGTACTAAAATGCCTGGTTTACAAGCTTTGAAGTCACTATGGCCGCATTGTTTTCTCATGGTTATATAAATTACAAAAATGAGGCTGTAATGTTACTCTTACATGTTTTTACTACCTATATGACCTTATGTCATGCTTCCTGCTTGCATGTATTCTCTACTATACATATGCCTCAATAAAAAAAGAAAGTGACAACATTGAAAATAGTCTAACTTTTTTTTTTTTAAACCTTTTTTGATGTGATTCTGGTTTTTTTTTGTTTTTTTTTAGTATTTATTAAATGACATAGTCCACTTCAGACAAGCAAAGCGATGACAAATATTGCATATGATAAGAAAAAAAAATAGAGAGATTGTTTTATTTCTTCTCTGTATGCTTTCTCTATGATGACTGCCAGGACATGGAGGTGCACAGTTGCAGGGTAAAGAGGTATGGATTTCTATATTTAATTTTATTTTTCACACCTCATAAAAACACATTTGGTCAAGGGGCGGAACCAATTGCGTACTGGTATAAGAAAACGTACATGGTGGGAGACGCGGATTATCCAAGTCTCTTTGATAATATCATTCGACATGGAGCGTACACACACAATCAGGGACACATTAACCAGTAGGAACCCCACGTTCACTGCTGTACTGCCTATCTAACTAGTTCAGACTATAAGAAGCACTGTTAATCTCTTAGAAAATAAAAAAGTTGACGAGAGGTAACTTGCGGATATAAATAACACAGACGGGGGGACACCCCTAGTAGGGTGCAGTTGACAGTAGCACTGATACATAGATAGAAGGAGGTCGATGTGATAAAGATGTTGTAAATGTCTTTGTCTATCATGCCTTAAAAGATATAAACTGTGCCTACCTGTTCATATGCCATGTACATGTAACCTCTGTCAATGAAAAAAAAAAAAAAACACATATTACAAATCCTCAGAACCAGCAGTTCCCATTTAAATAAATAATCCAAGCACCATACCACTACAGCCCGCTGTAATTGTAATGGTGACAGGAGTGCCCTGGGGCCCTCCCAGTGTAAGCATTTAAGTGTCTAACAGTGCTCAGTGAATTCCAGGTTAGTTGTCAAACTTTTAAAACATTTTTATCCATTTAATGGGACGGCAATGGGACTTTCCTGGCACCATAACCAGTAAAGCGTGATGTAGTAGTCATGTTTCTTGGAGTATTACTTTAATTCGCTATAATTTGCACTTTAGTAACTGATCCCGGGTGTATGGAAAACCCTGACAGTATGCACATGCAATTTGAAATCAATGGATGATGAGCAACAATTTGCAGAAACATTATATGGTGTAAAATGACAATTAGGAACACATTTGCTACAACTGCCACATTTTTGTTAGAAATTCCTTTGAGTTACCTATATCTGGGAGACCTCAGTGGACTTTAGTATAGTATGGGTTTTACTATGATACGATTTGTTTGATTGCCGTATTACTTTAATGCTCATCATTACGCAGTTTATTCCAGGCACCAGCGCATCCACAATATACAACTAATCTCTGAGTCCGCCAAGTTATTGTTGGACACCATCTAAATCTAAGTAACAACCACCCACTCTCGCTTGGACTGTAATTCTCCATATTGCATGTCCAAAATAGTTAATGCCAGTCAAGCATGTTATGCAGTGACCGTTACTAAACCTGTCTCTGACCATGTCATCATAGTTCTGACAACTACAGGCATATTGACGAAGCTCTAAGTATGTTAGGTGTTTTTCATTGTGCTGCAGGTTCTAATTCAACACATATTGCCCTCTGCCTGCCTCCCTATGCTTGTTTAATATGTTCCTATTCGTTTGCCTCATGCTGCCGTGAACGCATCTAACAGAAAATGTCCCTTGATAACAAGTTTCAAACTCATGAAAAAGACCAGCCCCATCGATCTAGGCAGCGATGACTAGCTAGCTAGGCTATGTATGATCAACTTTGGTTACTTCTATGTTTTTACAAAATCTTTGCTAGCTTACAGTAATGGGAATACTAGTATTAGCCGACACTCCGTCATGCGAAGCTTATGCTGGCTCCCCAAACGCCTGCATGGGCTGTCATACCATTACATGCATTTTACTGTTATCTCATGAACTGCAACACATAAATACTATAAAATGAGGCTGCTATCTTCAGGAAATGTTGAACCATGATGTGATATCCATATAATGTGCAATTCTTGTTCATTTCCCCTTCTTTATTCTGTACCGTACAAAAACATATGCCTCAATAAAATAAAATAATTTAAAAAAATAAATTCCTTTGAGTTTGGAGTGGGAGGGTTACAATAGTAATCTTTTTACTATTGAGCAGGTAAGGAATATAATATGTCACCAGGTGCCAATCACATAAAAATACATATGGCTTAGACACACATACACGAATAGCTAAACACACAAAAATTAGCACATTTCCATAACCAAATTACCAGGCTTCCCCTGAAAAGCTGCAAGATGTGGGTTCCATTGTAGCTGGTGTCTACAAGCTGACCCAATATGATTTATGCACTCGGTAAAATTTAGTACCTACTCGATACTTTTCCTGCAACACATGCCTTTTCCTGTTTTCTTGTGTTACAAGTTAGGTATATTTCAGTTTATTCTTAGATGTGCATTATTTTAATCTAAATTGTAGATGCCCACATAGGCACAGAAAAGGAAAAGTGTATTCCTCTTGCATTCCTCCCACTTCATCTCCTTTTTTTATTTTCTATCTCTATACTTAAAGTCAATAGCATTGTCTATTTTATTTGGAGACATATCACAGG